ATCCCCAAATGGCAATGTTCTAGTACCAAACGATAGAATGGTGCCAGGTGGATCAATGGATAGAGTCGAATAGGCTCCTATAGCCTTTGGTACTAGTGCGCCGTCATTGCGTATATGGGCGCGTTGACTAGGGAGGTTACAAGCCGTCATCGAAATCGATAATCCAACACACACACAAACAAGCCCTCCCCCAACCCAAGAAAAACTCTACTCGCACGCACGCCTCCTACGTTCGCTCCTCCCTCCTCAAAAAAAATACGCGCCTGGATCAATGTCTTGCTTTGGAAACTTTTGCCGGCGTATGCCTAGGGCGAAAAACCCATGTTCAGATCACACTTATTAGTCGAGAATTGCTACTAAGGTTGAGGTCCTTGGTTGACGATTCTTTGCCTGTTTCCATCCACAACTACTCCTCTTTGGAAGTTCATGAATTGCAAATAAGAAAATTCGACGAAAAATGTCAGCAAATGGCATCAACTTCTGACGCTAATAAAATCTGTTGATTTCTGTTCATTCAAAAAGCTACCAGTCTACTGTAGAAATGACCTCGTGACCCTTAATGCAGACAAACAAATCACAGAAATAGGCAGGGCGGTATAAAATATGTGAATGTAGAATAAAAAACCGCCAGTTCAAATCTGAAAGCCCTTCGGCCCGCTTGAAGGACTTCCGTCAGGCAGCTTTTTCTCTCCCTATTTCAACCCTTTTTTCGGTAAAACCCTCACAATATTTCAAGTTGGCTTACCCTTCTGAGCTCCATTCTCATCCTTTTTTCCTCTTGAACTTTCAGAGCTGCCAGGATAACTCTGTCACGGTTGTCCGGCGCCTTCAAAACAATGAGACGATTGAAAAACGCTTCTGTGGCAAACAATTGCCCCCAACCATCATCTCGTACGACGAGCTGACTCTTGTATTTGATACGGGCAGCTCTGGGCAGCTAACCCACTTTCGAGCCAACTACCAGTTTGAAGACAATGAGTGTGCTACGAATAATGGCGACTGCGAGTACAGGTGCTACAAAACGCCTGGCGCATACCACTGCCAGTGCAAAAAAGGCTTTGAGCTGTATGAAAAGACCAAATGCAGAAGACGTAAGTGATTATGTGGCGGGATTACCTCCAGGCAGAATGCTTTTTTGCTGAGGATATTAAAAGGGCAATGTTTGTGACGTTTTTGCTCTCTCCGTGTGATTTTTTCTGTATTAGGAAAAGCCACCGTCACTACCGCTTAGCGTTTAAATGAACGGACTGTCTGACCTACTCCTGGTTTGGCACTTGGTAGGACGGGGGAAGCGGAACCTGCACAATTTTTTATGGTCTCAATTGCCTTTGTTTAAATTTTCCCTTCCCTTTAATGGAAAAAACTGGGTATGGCACACCCTTAACAATTACTGACTGGCCAGCGTTCCACTCTCATGTCTCCAAAAGGTGGCTTCGCTATGTGCCTACCGAAATCACGCATATTCAACTGCCTACCCGATTTAATGCTGTTCCATTGTTTCCTTGTTGTCATCCAATATGCACGCAAGCTTTCGAACACCCTCTGGTAACCCTGCGGGCTTTTTATACAAAAAACTTACTAATTGTACCCGAGTAGGCATTATTTCTTGTGCTGCTGACGGAGCGCTGGGAGTGAGGTCGCGGACGGACGTGGGCTTCTCCTTTTGTTCTTGCTTGCAGTTACCAGTAGGGTCTTTTAACAAGCGTATGTTGTTCTGAAAGCACGTTCCTATGCACATACGTAGGAGAACCGTCTACCGTCGTGTTCTCGATGTCTATGCATACAAAGTAATCGTTGGACTATGGCTGTGCTTTCCAACCCATCGTATGTTGTCGGATTCTTCGGTTTCTTACTTATTTGAAACTTACCACGCTTTGCCAAGAATTGAATGGCGTCTGAAGACAACGATCACAAGCGCTTCACCGCGGCAAACTTACATGTAGTTTTCCCGAGCTCTCCCACATACGCTTGGGAGGTGAAGACCGATTCTCGTTGATGGCCACATCGATGCGCACTAGCTCCTTCACTTGCTTTCGTGGTGCAAGATATATTGGCCGAAGAACGACGCGCCTGGGAAATCGAGTGCGCTAAGGCATGGCAGCTTGACTAAGTAAAATTTGAAACTAGATCGATCTGGAGTTCGAATCACTAAGTCTATCCCAAAGAAGCTTTTTTGAGGTTGTCTACCGCACGCCAACCAAACAGCCGTGGCAGTAGCTGTGTTGTCAGAAGACAGTAAAACAGACATGCCCTCTTCGGTGGCCGACACCGATGCAAGGTAGCGTTTTCATGTCGCCCCTTACCTTCTGGTAAATGCTGTTCACTAAGTGCAAATGACAATGATTTCTACTCCGTGAACTCGACGTTTGACCACTACGCGCAGCCTAGTCCATTTTCTCCCCCCCCCCTACCCGTTCAGCGACCTCTACATGCCTATCTGGTCATGCGGGTAGTGTGAAAGCGATGAGTGCAATCATTAGAAATTTATGAATCCTGTCCAACTTTAATCTCTTCAATGTCAATGCAATTGAACAGGCCCAGTGACGTAGTTTTGAAAACAAATGCTCGCAATTTACTTCTTTATTGCGAATAGTTAAGCACGTGTGCGTACTTTTTGGCGCATAAAAGCCCTGCCCTCAGAGGATGTCTGGTCTGCTGAAGTCCTGCAGGAAATGTCCAGGAAATGTGCTTTTAATATTGTCCAAGTAACTGACCCTGGAAAATTTCCTGGCGATGAGTCAAGAACGTATTTTGTCTTAAGATAGCCTGACTCTCCACTGGAATGGTAGCAGTACAATCCCGAGGACATGCTAATGACCTGCAAGCTGACAATACCACCGTCATTTATTATAGTTCGGGTATTTATAATATGTATTATGAGTTGATGACTTTCGTTGGGAAATAGGGTTGTATGCGTGAATTTTCGAGAATTTTTTGGAGCCCCAGCTCGTCTTCAGACACACGGTTAAGTGAAGGTGCCAAAACAGCTAACGTTGAGTGTATGGGCGTAACGATTGGATCGCGTCGTGCCCATTTCTCCTTGAAACTTTTCTACGCACCACCTAGCTTGAAGTGTCTGTTAATGCATGACTCGTCCAAATGCATTGCCTCCAGGGATTCTCGAACGTTATTGAAAGGGCAAACACTGATGATAGGTGTGTGCATGGCGACTTGGGATACATGGTCTACTTTTTTTACCACACAGATGCGGTTTCCCCTTGTGACCACAACAAACGATAGCATGGGATCTTGTAGATAACTTCTACCTTATCCAAATAGTCAACCCCAACCTTAAGTTCACCTGTTGGCATCGTTTGGTCGTCATTGGCTTATAAGCCTCCTGAGGTGTCTGTCAACGATTTCAGCCACGTTCTAGATGTAAGGAAGGTTTTGCGGAGTCAATGGCTTGGACATCTCATTGCCACTGCCTAAGTCCTTTTTCGATGACTCCTCTTGTCTCTTGTATCATCGTTCGAATTCTCGCGGATAGTCATTATGAAAGAATAATTCGAGCAAGCAATTTAGTTCGATCGGATACTCTTCATTGTCTGAGCAGTTTTTTTTTGCTTTAGTTTAGAGGCATTAGACTACGGTCCTTTACTGAGAGAAAGGATGATTACTCGCATAGCTTAGGATGACTTCCGCACGTTTCCTCTGAAGTAAAATATCTTATTAGGTTTGTGTACGTAACATCCTAAATGATAACTGTTTCCACTGAATTTTATGAATAATTGTCGCATCGGCTAAACATTTCCCCTTTTCTTTTAGTTTCTGTCGGGAACGCGGGCCAGTAATGCCATGCTAGCGAGGACAGTCCACTGCGGCGGACTTCCAGAAGACGGAAATGCGAATCCTGTTTTTTTTAATCTCAACTGGTTTTTGGTTTTTCTCAGCGGAAATTGGAATAAATTTGGTTTTTGGCATAGGTTTTTTGCATTTTCCGTCAATCCCAAATAAAAGAGGACACTGCCCAATCTCGCTTTATTTCATTTTAATTTACGTAAAGCGCCATTACGTCCGGGACCTGCCGTGCACTGGTTGACGTGCTATTCAAAGCGACTAGGGATTTACTCTTAGTAATGTTCATCTTGCGGCCTGGTTGGGGTTAGGCTGTCCCAAAATTATTTGAACCCTTTAATTAAATTTAGCTAATTTATGTAAAAATATAAAATAACCTTTTAATTTTTATTCAACTGCACTGGTTGTTCCTTTATCTTCATACGAAAGGTTTACCCAATGTTTACTGTGCAGTACAGTCGTTCAGATATAAAAGGAAACTACATACATGGAAAACGCAGTGTCTAGGACCCTGATGGTGCGAAGCACAGTTGACATAGGTGGAGCTATGTGCATAATAGAGGCCGGAATGAAGCGAAAGGAGGTTGTTAAAGCTCTATCTATAGGAACGGTCAAGTATTGGTGGTTAGAGTACAAGCGGCCAGGTGCCCATACAAAGGACAACCCTGCAAGCACAACAATTTTTAGGAGAATTGAAAAGAACGCTATTGCAAAGTACATTGGTCCTATTTTAAAGTATACTTAGTTGTTGCCGTCAATGCGTCTCTGGCAGAAACTGCAGTTTAAAAAAGGGGGAAACAGATTTTAAAAGAAAAGAGCTCGTAGCTCAATGCTTAAAGCGTTGAACTTCTGATCAAAGGGTCGCGGATTCGAGCCCTGGAGTGGTGCACCGTCTGCGTTTGGGTATGACTGACTGATGACGACTAGTTATCCCGAAACGGCCATTTCAGTCCCCCTCCCTTTTTTGTTGACTGTGGTAATCTGCCTGAATTACGAATCAGTGTACAGCTGCTGACGAGGCTCGTGAGTGCGGCCCATGGCAAGTCGGGACGCAGTCGGCGAACATTCATCAAAAAATATCAATAAAAAACTGTTGGTATGCCTCTTCCCACCACCACCCCCCTCCAATGCCATTTTCATACAGCCTATCAACAAAGGAGAGCGGACTATTCCGCCTCCTACAAAGAAGGGTATTTATGAGGGATGGCCATAAAAAGAGCGACCTGCCTCAAAATTGCAGAACGGTCGTTGGGGTTTTCGAACCCTCCGTCGTGTAAACGAGGGAAAAGGTGAGACAGGGGTGTCGGAGGAGACAGAGGTTTGCTGGAAGGAGACACTACAACAGTTCTCATAATAACTACCTACATGTGACGGTACTTTCACTCCCATTCACATTTCATAGCACCTGGCGCAATCTGCCGATTCTGTTGGTTGGCTTGGAACTGTACGAAGGATTTAATTTCCTCAGCTGTGGGTGCGAATTCTGTAGACTGTCCTAACACTTTTTGCACCTATTAAAAGCTAGATGATTTCTTTAAAATAAAATATTAAGCGATACTATTTATGTAGTCCACACCGCGTTGGTTTGTGAATAAGTCTTAAACAAACTTTATACGCAATGTGTACAGAACTGTACAGCGGTACATCAATACAATAAATCTGTAAACCTCTAAAATGCCATGTTTAGGGCCCTGATGGCGAGAAGCTTAGAGGACAGAGGTCGAGCTATATGTGGGATAGAGAGCGGGAGGACTGCGTGTAGGCGTACCTTTTGGAACGGTCACGCATTGGTGGTTACAGTAGAAACGCACAGGAACCCTCACAAAGCAGAAGAACTTTGAAAGACCACTACATTTAGGGAAAAATGGAACGATGGTTATGTCAATAATTAATGACTGTTATCCATTCCGGTAGCGATTTCGTCGTGTAAAACGCTCAACTGGCAAAACGTAGTCAATCACACTGCATCAGTTCACTGATTGGCTACAGACGCTCGAGGACCCACTTCCTGGGAGCAAGACACTACGGCGACCACAGGCGCAAACACGCATTAACGGCTAGTTATCCAGACGGAAGTTTGTCAATCGAAATAAATTGTCAGCTAGGGGCTCGATCGTTACCTGGAATGCTTGTAGATGGAACTGCTCGTCAACCCAGTCACCAATCTCTGACCAGTCAACAACGGCTCACTGAGAAGAAGAGAACTCGACCGCTAGGACAATACTATTATTCGCTTGACGTTTCGACATCCGTCGCGGATTCATCCTCAGAAACATTAACAGAAAACAGTAGCAGAAACAG